CAGATTCTCCCAACTTCATCTTCTCTTTTTTGTATTTTTTCTTCAATGTATCTAAACGGTTCCGACACTGAGTATCCATTCTCTCAAATTTTGACTCCTGGGAAACCTTCTTAGAAACTTCTTGCCACTCTTCAGACCGAAGGCTCTTCCTCCCATGTTTGAGAAACCTATCACCCCAAGCATCCAGTAAGACAACGGTCTCGCTCTCAGTCCAATCTGTATGCGGATTCCATCCACCATATGATGGCTTAGGCACTGCATGAGTTGCAGATGATGGTGGTGGTACTCGAGGTGCAAACTCGTAACTTGATAACAAGCTTTTCAATTTTCTCTTTTTCGGGTGCCTCTGTAAATTACCATAATCATCCTCATCCTCGTCCTCGTCCTCGTCCTCATCACCATCATCATCAACATAATCATCGTTACCTATCCTCTGAACACTACTACCTCCACCATCATCCTCATCATCATCTTCATATTCCATATCTTCGTCATTAACATCATTATCATCGTCCTCAACATACTCATTGCCAACATTCCAAGCATAAGTGCCATTGTGAACAGGAAACTCCGGATTAGTTATGCCATAACGATTTGGCAGGTACCTAGCATCCTCCTGAGTATCATCCATCAAGACCCACGACCAACAAAACCACCGTACCACACAGTGTTAATGCCCAATCTCTAAATTTATTTCCAAACTTAGTTATGCAAAGAGCGCAATTCTTCGATTATTTCCCCAAATTATACAGCATTCTCCACAAATACAGATAAAATTAAGTGATGTCTTCTACCTGGAACACCTATATACCCACAAAAGTAAGATCATCATTACTTACAGCACAACGCCAAAATCATTGTCAAAAGGGATTTTATTTTAGTTCCAAATTCAGTTTCTAACCTAAAACAGCGAAGTAGAAATTCAGTTTCTTAAAAATACATGAATTATAAAGATCATTTCCAAAAAAGGGAGGGTAAAAAGTAAAGTCAGGTGCCAAGAAATTATAAACCCTTTAAATCATACCTCAAATAACTCACTCATCACCCTGAGATGCCTTAGGATTCAAGCTTTCTGAAAAATCAAAAATCGAAGGCTAAAAAAAAAAAAATCAACAATCCGAAAGATCAAATTTCGAGAGTAGGATCGGGATTTTTAGAGAAATATCATAATCTTTGTTTTATATAGAGAAAATAAAGCGCTTTTTATGAAGAAGAAGAGGTTGTGAGTGTGCGCAAAAAATGCGCATCTTAGTTCAGTTGTAGAGCGAACATAAAGTGGCAATTGCTAAAATGCGCAGGAGTTGCGTTTTGCTCATTTTCTTGCGTCATCTCGCTATCTCTGGGCCCATAGGTAGATGTTATTGGGCCCGAATATTCACATCGGCCCAGACAAAGCTACACGTGCAGTTCTTGCATTAGATTACTTTTTGGCTCATTTTCGTTTAAAAGTGTTAATTTACGAATGATCACTGAACTTACACAAATATCACTTTGGCCATTGAAATTTAAATTGTTTAATTATCAACCAAAAATTAAAAAGTATTTCATTTAAATCACTATCTTACTTAATGATAATTCATGCAAAATTTAAAATATTTGCTTATGTGGCGTTATGTCACTGAAGAAAGTTGCTAAAATTTGGATGGATAATAAAGTATGGTTCAACTGAAACAATTTTTTTAAGTTCAATGATGATAATGAAATAATTTAAATTTTTGTGGTCAAATTGAAATTTATTGTAAAGTTCAATGGTCATTCATAAAATTGTTCCCGTTAAAGTTTGGTTTAAAACTAAAACTATTCTAATCTTATTTATAAAATGAATATAACGGTTAATTACACTGCTTGCCAGCGAATTTTACCCTTAGGCCGTGTCACATTTTTCGGGGAAGTAGGAAAATATTTTCCACTTTCCACTTTTTTGATTGTTTGATAGGCGAATTTCCACGGAAAATATTTTCCGGATCTTCCCCACACGTGTGCAATTTCCAGGTTTTTGATGAAAAT